GCTCCCTACACAAGGATTCATGAGGAGGTTCTCCGCTCTATGGCTGTCTTCTGCAGTGCCTGCACCAGAAGAAATCTTCCAGAGCCAAAAACAGGGCTTTCAGAGCTCCTTTGCAGCCTTTTTACACAGCATAAAGGGGCCAGAGCAAAAGCGAGGATCTCACTGTTTTTCTGTTTGTCTTCCGTGAAATGCCTAACACGCTGCTGGAGACCATAATATGAATAATAGTCATGGAAAACCTGGCATGCAGTCTCTAGAGTTTGCTTCTTCTTTGGTTATTTCAAAAGAGAGCATTAGAGTGAGCATTCAACTCGTAAAGTGTTGGCAACTAAGTATAGCAATATCCCTATCAGTAACTCGAGCGGATAATTCCACATGCCAGCAAGTCTATTGTTTCAGTTGTGAAATAAGCCATTAAGCCTCAAACAGACTATAGGATAAACCACTCTGATCATTCTGTGCCTCACGGTGCTGTCATCTTTAACAGTTCTGGAGACAGACAATACAACGTCTCTTGCTGCTTGCAATTTTTACATGGCCATTGGAAATTATTTTCCCTTGAAATGTTTTAATGTGTTCTTTGTCTGATCAAAGCTTTACACAATGGGTAACCATTGAAAATTACTCCATGCAATGCACAATATTTACTCTCAGCACTGCAGACAGGAATATAAAAAAAAACCATCAAGAGATTGGACAGTCCTGTGTGAATAAGGAACATTAGATTATCTCCTGTAGAGATGATGGTGCAAAAAGGGGACAGAGACCAGCTCGGTCTATGAATCTCTCACCTGAAGTAGCCAATGATGAAAACAGCCACTGCCAGAGAACTGAAGGACATAGAGTATCCAACAGTGTACATAATGTAGAGACGTTCAAAGAATTCCCGCTGGAAAAGAAAACAAGATCATTTCCAATTTATTTTCTTCATCTGTGTGTACAGTCTCCAATAATCCAGTTTCACTTAATAAGGGACAAGCCCTAATGCAGGGGCCTCAAACTCAAATGATCACAAGGGCCACATGAGGACTAGTACATTGGCCCGAGGGCCGCATTACTGACACCTCCCCCACGCCGCCCTCGGCCCCGCCCCCACTCCAACCCTTCCATGAGGCCCCGCCCCTGCCCCACCTCTTCCCACCCCTTCCCTGCCCCCCATTCCAATCCCTTCCCCGAAATCCCCCCTCAACTCCACCCCTCCCCTGCCCCCAGGGAGTACAGGAGGGGTGTGGGGTGTGGCAGGGGCTCAGGGCAGGGAGTTGGGGTGTGGGGTGCAGGAGGGGTGAGGAGTGCAGCAGGGGGTCAGGGCAGGGGTGAGGGGTGCAGGAGGGGCTCAGGGCAGGGGTCGGGATGCGGCGGGGGGCTCAGGGCAGGGGGTTGGGGTGCAGGATGGGTGTGGCAGGGAGTTGGGGTGCAGGATGTGGCAAGGGGCTCAGGGCAGGGGGTTCGGCTGTAGGAGGGGTTCGGGGGGCAGGCTCTGGCCCAGCGAACACTGGGGGCAGGTCAGGCTCCCTGCCTGCCTGTCTGCCCTGCCCCACCCCGCCCCCGCGCCAGGATGTGTGTATTGCTGTGGCTTCAGGCACCGCCCCCAGCATCTCCCATTGGCTGGGAACGGGGAACCGCGGCCAATGGGAGCTGCGGGGGCGGTGCCTGAAGCAACATCAACACACACACCAATGTGCCCCCCGTTCCCCATGTTCTGGCTGCTTCCCGGCGCGGGGGCAGGGCAGGCAGGTAGGGAGCCAAGCCAGAGCCGCTCTAGGGAAACGCTGGGGGGGTGGGGGTGCGGGGGAAGGCCCGCGAAGAGCTCGCTGGCCGCAGAAAATTACCTCATGGGCCGCATGCGGCCCATGGGCCCCATGTTTGAGACCCCTGCCCTAATGTGTGTTATTGGGCCATATTCATCCCTGCTGTAACCCCACTGACATCAGTGGGGTTACACCAGGGATGAACTTGCTGTACTGCCATCCCAAAGAATTCAAGATTCATCAGTCTACAGTGGGGGGAAGAGGGGAAAATCACAAGAGTATTAAAAAGAATAATTTGTGTTCATATATTTGCCTTCTGGTGTTGTACTCTTTAGGGGGTCACTTTTAAAACTTTATTCCACAACCATGGAAACTAATTTTTTTTTTTAAATGAAAGAGGAGATCATGTAACATGATTCCTGGAGCTGCAGATTTGAAGAAATGCACTAACCACCATTCAAAAATCACAAGAGCAGGCGATATTGGCATTGTGTCTGTTGTCAGTTCCCCCCACCAGCTTTGGGGGGAGGGAGGGAATAATTGGACACACTTCTCTTGCCCTGCTATCTGCTTAGCTCCGTTGACTTCTACCCTGGAGGGGGTGGAGCCAGGGCTCTGATTCCTCCTCCTCCCTGATCCCTCTCAGCTCAGTTGCTGATGGCGCTTTAGAATATGTTAGTCTCTAGCTCATTGCCCTGAAGAGGGCTGCTGTGCGACAGCTTGCTGAGAGTCTAGCATGAATACATCACACGGCTCAGTATTAAAAGGGAGAAAGAGCTAGCCTATTTAGACCCAGATCCTGACGTGGGATCCATCCGAGTAAACAGCTGCAAAGACAGCCATTGATTTCAATGGGAATTATGGGCCTGGGAGCTTTTGAAAAATCTATTGAGCATTTATCTGCATCATCAGGTGCCTAAGTACTTTAAAAATGGCCCAAATCCCACAGACATAAGGACTTACACCTCACCAAAGCTACTTATAAAGGGAAAAACGTATACATAAAAATGTTTGAGAGTCTGGGGACTTTTTAAAAAAAAAAAAAAACTGATCAGTTATACAGCACTTCCCATTCAAGCATCCCTAATCTCAAGATAAACAAATAACATTATCCTCATTATACAGATAGGAAAACTGAGGAACAGGCAGGTTCATTGACGTGCCCCTATATCACAAGCCGATTCAGTGGCAGAGTACCAAATTGAGCCGTGGGACAAGAATTTTGGACCCAAGAATCTGGAGTTAGTCCACCCCTGCCAAAAGCAGATACCATGCTGACTAAAGCCTATGGAAATTGAAGCTTTGGCTGAGTTTAGCCCTCACAACCACATTAACCACAGCGAGGAACACCTGAGAGGGGAAAGTGCCTTCAGTTCCTAGATTCAGTGTCTGCAGTTCCTTCATGTCTACACTGTTTTAAATAAGCCTCTTCCTCATTTTACAACTTAAAAACCATTGTGTAAATAAATAAACGCTCATTGGGTCTGATGCACCATTATTAAATTAGGACAACAATGTGCAGGTCATTCATATTTCCAATTGTTTCTGTACAGAACCATCAAGGAATGAAAAAAGTGTGTACAATTTCAGGATTTGTTCTTCCCATCCAAACTCTCATGCTCTAGGATTGCATTGGAAAAACACCCCCATACCTTCCCCGAGCTGATTTCTGGCTGTAAGTAGCGAAGGCAGTCTGAGTAATTGGCCCACGTTCGGTTCAAACCCTGCACAAGGTCCCATGTTCCATTAGGGCTACAGTGTCTGAAAGCCACCCCTGCAAGGAGGAAATGAGTTTTGGTTAGTCTACGTAGATTCTTTGCCCCACCTGGCTTTTCATTTGCTTCACATAAATCCTATGAGGACTACAAGACCGGCAGTACCTTTGTGATTGAAGTCATATATATAAGGAGGGCATGGAACAGCCAACATTTTTCCCAGTGAGCCCCTGGGCCAGCATATTAGTCCATCCCATTCTGGAAAGCAGTTACCCTCTGCAGACAAATAGAAGGAAGACATAGAAAGGAGAAATGAAAAGAGACAAGCCTCTATGCCGCTTATTTTTTACCGTAGCTCCTAAATATTTAAAAGTATCTTGCAATTTAGTTACCTACGGATTAAAAAGTGTTAAATTTCTTCCCAAGTAACTTAATTGATAATGAATCAGTGATATCTAGCTTATACCCCAAAACAGTATCAGTTTCTTTAAAAACCCAATGCGTAGACGCTTTAGAGATGCAGGCAGTTCCCCACTTCCATATAACTCTTCATCGCTGACTCTCAACCCACCTACTTTACACCATCCACCAACCTTAACTCTGCCCTCCGACGTTTGCAAAATATGTCAAACGTATTGAAAATGGTCCCCCATGAATAGGAGATCATATACTGCTAGGAATTCATTATTTTGACCATGGCACACATTTTTGTTGATTCTGGGAGCTGTGGTACGATAGGTAGATCAAGGTATGTCTATGAACCTCATAAGTTGGTGAATCACCAAGGATCCTTCACCAACAGCATTGGGCTGGTCAGGGAAGGTGCATATCTCGTATCATTAAGAACACAGTATATTCAGAAAGCTGCAAGCCAGGGGACATTCTTTCCCATCCAACAGGTTACCATTTGCAATGCTGAAACGCCAATATTGGTCTGGGGGGGCCCAGCCATCCCCTTGTTCATGAAGCTGTACACGGAGCACCTCCACAGCACCAAGGAAAGATTCAGCCACTGGTTCAACAGGTGCAGCATGATAGCTGAACATGCTTTTGGTTGATTGAAGAAACAACGGGGATTGTTTACTGAACAGTTATAGCTGCCTGCTGTGTCCTGCATAATATCCGTGAGGCAAAGGGGGAAAAAGTTACCGCCAGCGTGGAAGGCTGATGTAGAACATTTGTTGAATTTCAGCAGCTGGACACAAGAGCTATTAGAAGAGCTCAACATGGAGCTATACCGTTAAGGGAGGCCTTGAAAGAGCATTTAACCATGAGCCACAGTAATGCACTGCGGTGGACTGAGCTCTACGTGGCCCTGCCGTTTTGGGGCCTGTTGGGAATTGCCTGGTGCTTGCTGTACATTTATGAATATAGCACTGTTTGTCACTGATCCTAGGAGTTCTGTCACACTGTACAACAAGCGTGTAAGTGCTTTCAGTTCCGCTAGGCACTCTGCAGAATAGGTTGTCAACGAAAGAAGATGAATTATTTTCCAAAAAATAGAAGTTTTTTGAATAACAAAAAGAGTGCAAGAAAAACGGGTGTAATTTAAAAACAAATACGTTTAAAAAGAACTAAATAAATTAACGGAACAGAACTTAACAAGGGGAAAGAACATTCATGTCCATTTTTACCTACACCCAGCAACCATGGCTCTCCCAGGTCAGCGTATGTGAAGCGGTGGCTGTCCTTACTGTCCCCCAGTGTGAAGTTGTAGGGGTAGGGATGCAGCCCCTGGGGCCATGTGGAATGTTGAGAGAGGTGTAGGGAGGCACTAAAATGGAGTTCTCCCTGGATGGCAAAGGGAGCTTAGCCTATGATTGTCAAACCTGTCAGTCCACCTGAGTCTGCAGCATCTGTGTTTGCTGCTGGAGAAGCCCCTGTTTGTCCTGGTGCATCTCCTTCTCCTGTCCAGTCTTTCCTTTTCTATACAGCCTGCAATATTCACGTTCCAGGCCCTCTGCTCATGGTCTGATGCAGCACTAGCTTGCTGGAGCTCATTGAGCATGTCGTCCCAAGTCCTCTTCTTTCTCCTCATCTGGCTCAGGCATTCTGCAGGCGTGGAGGGGGAAGCCCTGAAAACTGCAACACCAGCAGCTCCAGACCGAACACAGGTACCATTGGCACTATAGCCACAACAGAAAGCAAAGGGTTCAGAACTCCCTTTGCTTGCTCCCCTCGAGTTTTTACACAAGACATGCTTATTGACACTTCTACTTGGGATTGCTTGCGCACAGCACCAGCCCTGGGGAGCATGGCCCCAGGGGTGGGAAAGGAGGAAGGAATTGCTCAGTTGCATGACACTAGGATGATAAGGCACCGAATACCGGTACCAGTTTCCACAGGCAATGGGGATTTTAGTGGATCTCTCACTCCCGAGGGTAACTAAGGCACAGAGGGCACAGCTGCTGCTGGCATCCCGAAGCCGCCTGGGCCTATATGTCGCTAGCTCGTGTACTGCAATGATGCCTGACGAAGTCATCACAGATTGGCGTGGGAAAGTGTCCTGCCACAGAGGAAGAAATAAGGCTGCCATCCCTAGAAGCCTTTGGGAGACGATTGCAGAGAACTTCCATGAAAGTTTCATCAAAATCTCTCAGGAGAATTCAAAGAACATAAGAACGGCCCTACTGGGTCAGACCAAAGGTCCATCTAGCCCAGTATCCTGTCTTCTGACAGTGGCCAATGCCAGGTGCCCCAGAGGGAATGAACAGAACAGGTAATCATCAAGTGATCCATCCCTGTCCCTCATTCCCAGCTTCTGGCAAACAGAAACACAAAGGATGCCCCTGTGTACATAAACTGCTCTGCATTGGCCTCCACTGCCTAACTCTACAAGGGAATGAAAAGCAGATATCTGCCTCTGCTTGTTGTACCACTACCTCTTCTAGTACAAATAAATTAATGAAAAAGTTGATAGCTGCATCCTGCTAAGCTGGGAGCACCATCTGTACATCATTGGAATGGGAAATACGTTTACACACCAGGGCCGGCTCCAGGCACCAGCCGAGCAAGCTCATGCTTGGGGCGGCATATTCTAAGGGGTGGCATTCCCTCCAATCCTTTTTTTTTTTTTTTAAACTTTCGCCTGCCCCGCAGGTTCTCTTCTTTTTGGTTCACCACTCCAGCAGCCCTGTAGGGGGCGGCGGCGGCACGGAGGAGGGGTCCTGCGGGAAGCGGGCTGCGTGCTCCGTCTGCCCCAGCTGGTGCCAGGT